CACCTGGCGATCCTGTTTGGTTGTGCTGTTGTATTTAAGGGTTTATGGACGTATATCACGGGTGGCCATTTGGTGGTGTTCAGCGTGTGCATGGGCGGCTTGTACTTGGCGAAGCTTATGAAGCCCAAGGACGCTCTTGACGAGGAGATTGAAAAGCTCGATGCTGCGTTGGCATTGGGCGGCGACGAGATGAGGCCGTACGTCCGCCCGACCAAGTTTGTCATTCCCGAGGCCAATCGTGGCTTGTTCACGTACGTGATTTGTCGTCTGATCGATATGAACAAGCACGGAGTAGTGCTCGACAACGCCAGTACTCGTCACTCCTGGGGGGAACCCAAACGCAACGACGAAAATTCCTGCGCAAGAAAAATCATCAAGTGGACATCAACGAGAGCCAAAGCGTCGATGACATTTCGCCATCGCCGGTCGCCGCGACGCCTCCTGCATCAACCGGTTTGGAGAAATGCGTTCCCGCGCAAGCCACGCATCGACGGCGGCGGCCAAAGCGCGTCTCGCTGGATGAATAATAGAGGATCTGCTGGCTAGTATATGCACTGCATCTGGTACAAAAATCCGTGCCAAAGCACCACGGACGGGCGCGTGGTCCCAAGGGCATCCGCCGAATGCCCATGGTTTCAGGTTCCTTTGATGCACAGCAGCAGAACCACAATTGCCCATGGTTCAGGTTCCTTTGATGCACAGCAGCAGAACCACAATTGCCCAAGACGATTATCCTGTTGGAAAACCAATCTTTCCACGTCACCAATGGCGGCCACACGAGTGGGGTGTGAAGTCACGGCGGATTTGAGCGGCTTCCCTGCTTGATGCTCGAATAATAAACACGACCACGATATGACATCAACTATTGCCACTGCTTAAACTGGCCCACATGATACACCAACGGGGCAATGAACAGCAAACTGTCCATGCGATCGAGGCACCCGCCGTGCCCGGGAAAGAGGGCGCCCGAGTCTTTGACTTGGGCCACGCGCTTTGTGTACGACTCGACCAAGTCCCTACGCATGCATGCGCCCATGCATGAGTTCTCGTTTAAACTGTCTTCGATGCACATGCTCACCCCAAGACACAGAGCACTCCCATAACGCCACCCAGCGCAACTTGCTCGACCAAAGGCAGAGCCGGCAGCAAATCTGCAACGAATCAGCATTCACGTCATTGCGACGGGGTGATTCATACCTGACCGGCCGATTGCCTCGACGAGCGCCATCGCTCCAACCACTGTCAGCATACCAAACACAACGCTACCGACGGCCCCAGCAACGGTCTTTCCTGGGCTGATGGTCGGCAGCAATTTGGTCGAGCCAAACAACGAGCCGGCTACGAGCGCCCCGGTGTCACTTAGCCATGAGCAAGAGAGCGTCATCACCTAGCATGTACATCATGACGCCGCCTCCGTGTAATCGCAGAGTTAACGAGATCGAGAGGCGTACTTGGAGTCCCATTCCAAAAGACGACGCGTTTCGTATGAGAATGGCATGAGAAAACCCACTATATGCAGCCACGTTGAACGAGTGGCCAGAATTGCATGCAAGACGAAGGGGCACACACTGGACGATGTAGCCAACAGCTAGCAGATCCAGGAAGAGATCGACGATGCCTTGATGCAATGTCGTATTCGAAGGAGCCTTGGATGCGTTGCTCCATGACGTCAAGATCAGATGATAGCCAAACACGGCAAAGAATGCGACAGACGTCGCGGCATCTAGGACTTGATCACTGCAAGGCGACGAGTGTTGGGAAAGTACCATGAAGCTGTTTGCTCTGAGTGGCCGCCACAGCGACCAGACTTCCCAATATGGCGATGAATACAGCATGGGCTACGTTGTTCTGCTCGCGGCGGTGTGAACATGTCGCGTTCATGGGAACGGTACCTTCGCCTCGGGTTTCACTCCTGCAACGTGAAACAGAAACGGGGGACACAAGTTGCAGCGGAACTCGATGAGACACCCCGCCAAGATGGCTGTTGCTAGTGCAGACGTGCCAAGAGAGGTCCCGAGCAAGTACATGGCCACGGGGGCTGCCAACGCGAACGTGAAGATTCGGCGCTTCCAGTCGATGCCCATGTGATGAGACTCTGCGGAGACTTCGTCTGGCAGCACAGTTATCCGTATAAGGTTGTGCTTCTATCCGATGGAATGTTCAAGAGGAAATGGAAAAGGAGACAAAAAGAGCTAAAAAGAGACGAAAAATGT